GAAGCTATGCTCATCTAAAGAGCATATGCAAGGTCCTTCCACTTTAAAATGTATTCGGAGCTTCAAAATGTATTCGGTAAAAGTCGTTGCTTTCAGCTTTGCGGATGTGTTGGATTAAACCTGGCCATGTATAGACTGATTTGAGAGATTAAGCGTCTCCTTCGGAAGTGTAGCACACACGCTGTAGGTTGTTGTTAATGGCCAAATTTACAAATTACGTAGGGTATCGATCATGTGAATTTAAAATACTTTGGAAACCATTTCCTCTGAATGAGTATTTAAAGATAAGTTTCCATAGATCTATTAATTTTGATTTGGAGTGTGTGTACACGGACGACGTGATTAAAATGCATGTTGTCAGCACGTGCTAACAAGCTTTTCATTTATTGACGAATCTGGATGTTTTTCGTAAACCCGAAAGGCGCTCTGTGAGGTGTTTGGCACAGTTGGGTCCCTTTGTTTGCCTTGTGTCTCTGGTCAACCTGTAAAGCAAACCAAATCTGTGAGCGGGCGTAAACAAAACTGACGTGCTTGTCTGCGAATTCTGCCGTGACGCGGTGTTGTTTTTCGTATCTCTACGGTTTCACGAATAGAAGACAAAGAAAATCTGTTGAGGTCGACATTCACTGCCCCCATACTTGTAAAGATTTTCGTAAGCTCCAACCAATGTTGAAATTTGCGGTGAACGGTAAGTTACACCCACCGAGAATTGTTTTTTTTTTTTATTATAGTTGTCCCTTAATTTTTGATTGCAATTTCGCGGCGATGTCTCAGGTTCTCTCTGCCACAGGAAAATATTTTGCTGCAAAGTAACATTGAAACGTTCGGAAACGTTTCCTTATTTAGTGTTTTTTTTTCCTCGCTGTATGGTGAGGAAATTTCTCTCTCAAGAATGGAATAGTAGAATTTGTGTTTGTCTGTGATTGTTTTATAGCATGACACTAATCAAATGCGTTGTATGTCTAAATCGATTATGACTGAAATCATATACATTCCTCTTTCATCATAGTGATGTTTTTATTACACATAACTTTTTGGACGCTTCCGCTCAAAACTTCGCATTTAAATATCGGTTTCACCGAAATGCGTCTTTCAATCTTCGTTATTGTCAGTTAAGTGTAAATAAAACAGGTGGCCATTTTTAATATTGTCTTTGGTGATTGCCAAATTAACTGTCTGTTCACACGAGATGAATTTGTTTTGATGAGCAATGCCTGAGTAAACTTCTCGATGATTACAAGCTCCTCAGTTGTATTCCTTGCCTTGTTTTTTCAACGTTTTAATACCTCAGCAAGCTGTCAGTTTTTGCCTTAGTGACCTTTGTATAGAAAAAGTAAAAAAGCTGAAAAGATTTTAAACTGCTAGTATTTCGACTTCCTTTATATTCAATAATTAAATCTAAACAATAGAAAAAATGTAACAATAGTTCTTTAGCACACCATTATACCTCAGCAGTTTATATCTTCTTAATTCAGAAACACTGTGTTTGCATATCGCACAATCGATTTTTTTCCCAAAAATATTTATCTTAACTCTTGGTCGAACAATTAATGTTTTTGTCGCTCATCAGAATAAACATTTCAAACTCAGACAAAATAGAAAGCACTTAATTTATTCACCGCTCATGCTGTTATTGAAAAAGAAAGAGAAACCGGGCGTTGTTTTTCTCACGCCAAGTTCTTTTAGTTTATTTTGCCCTGATTTGAAAACAACAAGTGTAATTTTTTCTGATTGTGTTCTATTTGTCAGAAACTAAAGAAAACATTGAAGAGGAATTGGATAACCTGGCCCCCATAAACGTTGCAGTTAATAACGTGCCAAAGCTAAAACAAAGTAAATCTCGAATTTCATGTTGAAGGATTAAAAAAACCCTTCTTCCACAGACTTGAATATTAGAACCACCAGTACCGCATTTAAGTCTTGATTAATTATGGTTTCATCCAGAGTTAAAAGAAAGAATTATGTTGTAGAGAGTAATAACTGAAGTAATGACCACTAGCTTTAATTTGGATGGTAACCCAATTGACTATTTCATCTAAATGTACGAAAGGAGATATTCTTTCCAGTCGGCTTCACTGATTCGTTTTGATTTCCTTATATTTAGGAAATGCAAACACACAGTCCTCTCCCCAGACCTCGCTTGCTCCTCGTGCCTCGCGGCGAGGCAGCAAAAAGAACGCGCTTGACGACCTGGCCTTTGAAGAGGTCATGCGCGGTAAACGTCAAACGCTTGGCGACGGACACTTTGACGAAGCGGGAGTCTGGATTCCAGCCTTAAAGTCTTCCCTCAGCGAGGAGTCGCTAAAGGAGTTAAACAGAGGAGACGGAAGCTTTGGCAAGAGTCTGCTGAAGGCGCAAGGTCTGTTTGCAAGGAAACGAAGAGAAGGCAGCGAACAGGACAAAGTTGCACCAGTGGTCAGTAAAAGTGGACGCTTTGGGAACGAGAAGCCCACTGATGTGAAAGGTACGTTAAATACAGAATTTCTCGTCCATCTGTGACCAACGAAAGTGATAAGGAACGTCGAAATAATCATATTCGAAGTTCCCTCTAACAAGGGAGGCGATAACAAGGCCATTTCCGAATTATCTTTAGCCTCTTTCTCAAAGCGAGTCTTGGTACCCATCCTGTCATATGAAAATAAGATTTCATTCATATGCAGATTAAACTCAATTTCATATGAATGGTTGTGCACCAGGCCTCGCTTTGATAGAGAGGCTTAGAGCAACTAGGAAATGGGCTATTGAGTTTGTTTTTTGAAGACCGCTCGAGTCTCCGTCCACAATTTACACCTTACTAAACCTTTCCAATTCCAATCTAAAAGTATAAATTCTCCTGACTGATTGATAAAATCCCTTTATAGTAAGTTCTGAGAATTTGGCGGTGAATCAAGCTGATGGTTTTTTTTTTTGACACTCTTTGACACTCGTCTGTTTGATAATTTATCAGTCTTCGACAATTAAGGTTTGACATCAAAATTCTGTTAACACATTATTGTAACCTCAGCCAGCTCAATTCCTTATTTATTAGTATTATTTGGCTGTTATAAATGTTATTCTTGTTATATTTTTTCAACGACATTTTGAATTTTCTTCTATGGGGTTTGAATAGAAAAACAGTTTCGTTATTTAATTAACCAACCGAACTCCTTCCGTTAAACAACATGACAGAATTAATTCTTTATTTGATAACACAAAGTGGAGCAACGGTTGTTTGTTGGAAGTCTGTTTGAAATTCCTTAAAAATCATCCAAATGATTTGATGCAATTAAGATCGTTCAGGATTCCAGCCAGACTCATCTTCTTTTTGGCATAAAAGAGCTTAATTAAAGTTCTCGTGTTTACAAGCTTCCTTCTGGGGACAGGTGCATCTTTGCACTTAAATTCGTTATTCTAATTCGTTCTTTGAATGCTAAAACAGATGACTGTCACTCTTCTTTCTATTGTTTCTCTCAATCAACCTGTCATATATTCGCTTGGCGTTAGCCTTGCCCGAATTTTCTGGGTGTTTTATTCAATTTACGTGCATGTTAACCAAGGAGAGAGTTTAGCTGTCGATTATTCCACCGAACTTCGGAATCAACAAAGGCAGGTTTCAGTTGGATTTTTCTTTCCTTCAAGGTTGTATTTCAAAGTTTGTGTCCTTTGTGTTGCTATGACCGTCTAATGAGCTTTTTCGTTTAATGTTTATCTTAGAAGAAATTGTCGTGTTTTCTTTTTTAGTTAATACGTTGTGTGGAACTTCATTTTGCTTACGTAGGAATCACTTTTGTCTCAAAGGTGTTAAAGATAGTTGAAGGTAGTGACGTAGCGTATTTTTTTCGCTGTCAGTTCTAAATATCACCAGAGTTTGTCACAAGCCACAGAGGCAATTGGCTGTAATTCCGAGGCTTTGAGCCGAGCCGAGCCAAGTAACTTTAATACTGTAAATATATCAAATTAATTTCCATTATCGCCTTGCACCTGTCTTGTGAACGTGTCATTTTCAGCCAGTTTTTCACTTTGCATTATATGTTGTTTTGCAGACTTCTTCGAGCTCATCAGCCGTGTCCAGGCCAATAGGATGGATGATCAGAGAGGCGAACTTAAGGGAAACCTGGAGCTGCCAGATTTCCTCAAAATTCCGGCGAGCGGTAAGCCAGCTCAAGGCAGTGACGATTTCAAGGTTCCTTACGCACCACCACCTCAAGGTTTCAGAACTGTAGACAGGAACGTCACAAGACCTGCCTTGAAGAAAACGTTTTCCACACCGGTCAGTCAAGCTCCCGAGAAAATGGACTTGATGCAGGAGTTGGCGTCGAAGTTATCCAAGAGGACCGAGCCGACGAAGAACAGTTCATCGCCCAAGGAAAAGGTTGAGAGAGAGAACGAACAAAACGAAATGTTATTGGACTACAATTTTAACTCCAGACCCCAACCTGCGCAACAAGAGCAAACTTCCCATGCTGTTGTTAACGCGCAGGAAAGACAAAAACGTACACAGAGACCGAGATCTTGTACTGACGCAACGGTTTACACAGTGGATATGGCGCATGGGATGCGGGTTGAAACGGGCAATCGCCCGCAGCCAGTGGCTGACGCCGAACCTCGTAAGAACGTTCATCCTTCAATGCGGCCACAAGCATCGCAACCTGTCACGGTGAACAGCTTGCGTGGAATGCATTACGCTACTAATCCGCGAAGGAACACGACCGATCACGTTATGTATCATCGTCCTAACAATGCGCTCAGTGCCAAACCGCAGACCGTTGCGAGAATTTCTTCGAAATCAACTCAGAATCTGAGAGACACCACGCCCGCTATTTACGACGTGAAACCGGGTTCGAATCAAGGAATGCGGATTAAAGAACATGATGATCATTCGATGAAAAATTCATCTGCTCCTGTAGATATTCCTGCGCGAAGGCTCGTTTCGGCGTACAGTTTGCCTGAAGTAAATTCTCAGAGAGCTGAAGTGCACATTCCGTTTGCGGGGGGACCCCCTCCGGTTCCTCAGAGGACAGTTTCTTATATGGAAAGACGACCTCGCCCTAAACCAATCACCAATCCAGAAGAACTTCTAGCAGGACTGGAAACCACTCCGGTGGCGCGTTCGAATGCGTCTTCCTTTGACAGAGTGGAATCACCACCCCACCAAGACATGATGAAACGGGTGGGAAGTCCGCTGCCTCCCCCTCCCACCCCTCCCTCAGGATCAATGTATGACCTGCAAATCGCCGACTTCTCTCCGCCTCCGTCGATATGTGAATCCCCTGAAAAATCCTCTCAGCCGCCTGAATATCGGGACTCCTCAAGCTTCGCGCAGTCTTCTGCTTCCCAAACTGGCTCGTCTTTCCCGAATAGCACCGCGTCTCAAGCTAGAACCAGCAGTGGAAGCGCACCAAATTATGCTGGTCCCGTAGCTTATGTGAACATGCCAAGCAAGGACGTTCAAAGACAACGGACCAGCGACAACAGAACATCGGGCTATAGCAAGGTGCCGATCACACCGCACGTTAGAATAAGCAATGTGAACGGGCCCACTTCGACAAACTCGACCCAGCGGGTTAGGAGTGAGGATCGTGTGGACACATCGGCGCAGGGTCACACTCCAGGCTCTGTCACGCCAACTGTTTCGAACTTGAACAAAACGGTCACGCCACCGTCGACTAATGAACGGACGCTTGTCGAGGAATCTCCCTCGGAACATGCCACTCCCTGCACGGGTCACAAACCGTCAATGGATAACACAGCCAAACGGTTGATACACAACACGGGGAGTGTTCCAAGAGCAAGGAACGCTGATCCGGAGAAACGACGAAGTCGACAGGATGGCGAGATGCCAAAGCTTGACCCTTACGTTACCTACGAAAAGGAGGACTTGAGAATTACGTTTGTTTAACAATTCACTTACTAGGAAATTCCTGCAATTTTGTGTCTGCGGTCCCTTGAATCGATGCAATTTTTATTTAGTTTTGCTCAATTTTATTATTGTGATTTGTTATGTAGTTTACTTGAGTTAAGTGCTTGTTTCTGTGATTTTTCTTTTTTAAAAAAAACCGTGCCAAAATACAATGCAACTTAGAACTTTATTGAAAGTGATCTTCATAGTGAAGTAGACGCAAAGCAAAAGAAAGCCCAGAAATCGTCAGGGCCGGCTAAAATGGATTTGCAATTTGTAGCGTATCAGATATTTAGCAGTATAGGGGTGGAGGGGTATGGGAAGAGGAGAGAAACAACAATAACAGGTATAATTTCTGCCTGTTATATCGTACTTGTAGTGTACAAATTAAGTAAATGTCATTGGAGTGGAAGGCTCACGTTGGACCACAAGCGCGCGCGGCATAGCCGCGAACGCGAAATCGAGCGGCGCGAGACGAGACAGCGACTCAAGCCCTGGCCAAACGGAGTCGCAAGTAGACGCAAGTTCTCAACTTGCGTCTACTTGCGACTCCGTTTGGCCAGGCCTTGCGTGCACTTGCGTTGACTTGCGATGACTTGGGCTCACTTTGGTCGAGATCAAATTTGCACGCAAATCGACGCAAGCTTTTCACCGTTTGGCCACTCAACCCAAGTCATCGCAAGTTGAGAGACGTCCATTAACCTATTATTAGCCAATGAAATACAGGATATTTCTGACTTGACATGTTTTTTATAGCGACTTGGGGGTACTTGCGAGGAAAGTTGCGAGTCCGTTTAGCCACCCAACGCAACTCTCTACGCAAGTTCAACTTCCGGCTGCTTGCGAGTACTTGCGAGTCCATTTGGCCAGTGCTTCAGACCCCTTCTGCTCGCGCACGTGACTCAAAGGTGAACCAGCTCGCAGGCTAAGTGGAATCCCGCCTTGAGGCCACGCCGTTGTTCTGGCCACATTTCAAGCTAGTAGCTACTTGACAGATGGTATATTTTCAAAACCTGCCCAATTTTTGTTACTTTCATTAAATTATCTAATCTATTTTGAATCTTCCTTTATCGGCCTTTTGTTAAAGTGTTACTTCGAGAATTGTTTCGATTGAAAGGCGATTTTTTACATGGGTTAACTAGGTTCCACTGCTAAGATTACTTTCAATAGTTTCCATGTATATAGTAAATCTCACGAAAATGACATTTTTATGTATTTTTTGAACAAGGAATATGAATTACAATTTTTGAAGTTACTGTAATTGTTTATCAAAGACTTAATGGTCAATGCATGTTTATATTTGAAAATCGCAAATCTATTTATGATGTAATTCTTACAGTTTGCTGTTTTTGTTGAAGGTATCATTATGGTAGAATGCAAGTTTGTTTATTTTATTGGACAGCTGGAATGTCGTGCAGCCGTTGTTTGGCTGGTCAAGCAACTCCTCTTCTCAAGGGTAGATAGAAACGTTGCGTGACACAGGAAACAACATTGAAAGGAAGTCACGCACGGTATATTTTTAACCGTGTGAATAGACCATTTTACAGTTGTCTGCTCAGTGACCTGGCCTTTGTATGGCAGCGAGGCTAGAGTTGACCTTGTTTTGATACAGACCTCACTGC